TTTCTTTATATAGAGAGTAGTAAAAATATACAGAATCTACCTGTTTACATTTCAACTTACCTGGGCTGCCTTAACTTGCATATGTTTCCTCTCCTGTTCTTCTTCATGGAGTTTTGCTTCTAACTCTTGCATTTTTTTCTAGTGATAAGAATATTAAAAAGGTTAACAGTGGAAAAAATTTTTTAGTATTTGTAAAATTTTAATACAGTGAATATAAACTTGTGAATTTACTTTAGTAATGACTCTGGACTTGCCAGTATCATAACACTCTGCTTTATGGTCAATCATTAGTCATTTGTGAGGTAGCTATGAGGTAGGTGGATGGAATTATGGGTAAAATCAATGGTCAAAAGCAGACCTCTGTATGAAAGTAAATAGGATATTTGGAGGCTGAAGGTGGAACTTTACTCTCAGTAGTATTAAATACCTCCCAAGTGCATCAATTAAAATGAAAATTAGTTTAGAAAATAGCTTACACCAAGTGATAGATGCCTTAAGGATACCAAAAAAAAAAAAAAGATCATTTCAACATTTTCAAAAAGAACTCCTTCCTCATGCTTACCGAGACTGTTAATATGAACATTTTCTCTGAATTTACATTTGCTTCTCTTTAAAGTCTTATATGTTTCTTTGCAAAAAGATTACCATCACTCCTACACTGAATAATATAATCAATTAAAAAAATAAAAAGAAATGATTAATGATTTAATGAGTGTTAATGAATGAAAGGTACATTTACTGACTTCTGCAACAGCTTGCATTGTGGTAAGTTTGTTATATTCCTGTTCAAGAAGATCCAATTTTTCAAGTTTGGTCTGAACATGCGTTTGATCATGTTGTCGTTCTCTTTCTAAGGAAACCTGGGAAACATTAAATACAGCATCATAATTTGACGATAATAAAAAAAAAACCACTCACACTGAATGTATCTTAGACTACAATATATCTGGCTTTCTGTAGAAATAACTAAAAATACTGCAGAAGAATTCTAGGAAAACAATATTAAGATGAAACCACAGTAACATAAAGTAAAATTCTGTTTTTAACCATATGCATATATATCATTTGGTTCAATACAGTAAAACTATACTTTTGTCCTGGAACAGCAGGGATTTATTGGATATAGAGGCTATACATGTACAAATACTTTCAATTAGTCTGATCCTCTTAACTAGTTAGTCTTTTAAGGCAATAATTATGGGTCTGACATCATTTACATCACTTCTGAATTCTATGTAAAACAGCCTTTTTTATCCTTGTTTTACTCAAATTTAGAGTCAAGATTTGAAAATACTGCCTCCTATACATACTGAAGGATTGATAGTAACAGGATAAACCACTAAACAAGAATAAGAATGGATATGTGTTAAATGAAATCTAGTGGTAAAAAAGTAAAATATTAAGCATCTGAACTTATCTTCAAACCAAGTTTATAGCAATAGGTATCATCCAAACCAAACTCACTGCCATTGAGTCGATTCAGACTCATAGCAACCCAAACTGGGTTTCTAAGGCAGTAAATTTTTATGGAAGTAGATTGCCTCATCTTCCTTTCACGAAGCAGCTGCTAGGTTTAAACCACCAACCTTCTGGTTAGCAGTCAAACGCCTTAGGCACTATACCACCACAAATCATTAATAGGTATCAAACTAACAGAAATCTGAAAATGACAAAGCAATATAAATATTAATTAATATATACAAATATTATCAATTATAGAAATAATTTTATCGTAACTTTGTGTGCATTACTAAACACCTTAGTGTGTCTAGTATTCATATTATTCATAGAAATTCATAGCTCTTAAAAGAATAGATTGACTTAAAATTGGCACAAATCATGTTTTATTTCCATTATTGGGACTGTTCTTAACTATCCTTACAAAAAATGCTATCTAAAATTTACTAATGACACTACCAACATAATGTTAAGACATGTATTGTATTTGTCTAATGTTGATTCCTAGATATCTTATAGCTGTCTTATAGGTAGGTGCTTTATTACCTGGGCATTGGGATATCTCCTCAATGAAGAGAATTACTGTATATTGTTTTCTGCCATTTCCAAGGTAGCAGACAGAAATGATCACAACACCATCCCATCCATCACATAGAAATGTTGATAAAACATAGTAATAACAACAGTAATTACATAGCAAATATGAAAGCAAAAAAGTACATTCTGCAGTTGCAAAAAAAGAAATGGGGACTCTAAGGCAATACAGTGAAGGGATGTTGAAGCCAAATATGACATGAAGCAGTACTGGAACCTCTGTACGTAAGATATACAAAGACATGACATAATATAAAATCTGAGGCAATGTATAATCTTCATGATGAAAGAACTCTAAGTGCATAAATTTACATGAATCTGGACAAGAACCAGTCAATTTCATTAAGCTGCTTATATACTTAGAAGTTTGGGACTTCCAAGGTAAACAACTCTAAAGATAATGAATTTACTATAAAAAAAAATATACTTTGCATAGGAAACAAAACACCAGAAGAGTGAGTCAGCAGATGCTATAAATGGGAGAATTAACATTTGAAGAATTTCATATAATTAAAAAAGTTAAAAATTACTTACAATGTTCTGAGCTAAAAGAAGAATGTAAGAAGAGTACATTATAAATAACAAAAAATTATGAGTGGACTGATAAAGATACAAATGGAAACAAAAAATACAGTTACTGAAATAATATGGCACAGTGAAGAGACCTCTAGTACATGAGTATTACTCACTTAGACTTCCTCTCAAATACTGTTACACAGTTTTTCATTAGGTCTGTTAGGTGTAATCACTCCATCTAAGGCTGAAAGCTGATTGAGGGTAGAAAGCATACAAGATCATTTTTATACTGCATCTGTTGCTGTCGTTACGTGCCGTGGAGTCAGATCCGACTCATAGCGACCCCTCCCTGGGTTCTGAGGCAGTATCACTATGGAAGTAGATTGCCCAACCTTCCTTCCGAGGAGTGGGTTTGAACTGCCAGCCTTCTGGTTAGCAGTCAAGTTCCTTAGGCACTGTGCTACCACAGCTCCTACGCTACATCTAGCAATATTGAAATCTTGCATAACAAAGTTAAGAGGTCCATAAACTGTGCTATTTATGATAAATTAAAATTCCAGGGTCATAAGAGTAAAAAGAGTGAAAGATGTATTTAAAAAATATATTTGAGACTGATGTTGCAGATAATCTCTTATAAAAATGCTGATTAAACACAAAACTCTGGTGTGCCACAGAAAATTATCTTTTTTTCAAAATAATAATTATAAAGAATTTCACAAAGAACAAAGAATTTTCAAATCTGCTGTTATATTTAAGTCTTTAAGCAAACTTAAGAGGCACAGAGGTATATTCTATGATTATTCACCTTCATATTTTAAGCTCAAAAAGTTAAATTGACTTTAAAAGATCACATAACTAACTACAGGACTGAGCCTTGAATCTAAACCTTTTAATTTCAAATCCTAGTATTTTCCATCTTGAGTATCTGACAAAAACAACTTTCTATACAGCTAACAGATGCAAAGGACTGGTTCAATGAAAACAGATAAACTCCAATAGTCTTTTTCCCATTTAAAACAACAAAACTCTACCAAAAGCAACAGCAATGAAAAAAAGCCAATCAAACCTTCAGACACCAAAAATCATCCCAAGTAATTTCAGGTCTGAAATTCAGAAGCTACCAAAGACTCTTCAGAGCTGAAAATATGGGTGACAAACACAAACACTGAAATTATAAGATAGTGCTATACACTGAGAAATTTCCCTCAAAAAAAAAAAAAAAAAAACTTCATTTTAAATAAAAAATAATTGATGGACACAATGGAAAATGACTTTGGGGAACAATAAACTGTTTATTACCTCAAAGTAATTAAAGAAAAAAAATCCACTTAAAAATAACTTTGAGAGGGATTGGTGCAGGAGATCCTGGATAGAGTGGGAAAACAATGTGGAACAAAACTGAAAGTCATAAAACAAACAAAACAAAACAAAAACACCAAGTTTAGTGGTCTGACAGAGCCTGAGGAGACCCTTGAGGCTATGGGCCCCAGTTACATTTGAGGTCTGGAGCTGAACTCACTCCTGTGGCTTCCAGCCAAATAACAGACAGGTGTATGGGTTGAACATTTATATCGAGTAGATGCACTCCTTAGGAGCTCTGGTAGCATAGTGCCTAAGGCACTTGACTGCTAACCAGGGGGCTGGTGGTTCAAACCCACCAGCCACTCCTTGGAAGGAAGGTTGGGCAATCTACTTCCATAGTGATACTGCCTTGGCAACCCAAGGAGGGGTCGCTGTGAGTCAGGTCCGACTCGACAGCACACAACAACAACAACAGATGCATTCCTTAGAGTGACCAATCATGGAAGAACAGAAGGGCAGTATTTGCACTGGGGAATGAATAGTTTGGGGGGGGGCAGGGAAGGACACAGGGAAGAGGTTACTACAGGGAGAAGTGGGAAGAAAGCTGTTACATTGTGGGGAATTGCTGTCAATGTCATGAAACTAAATGTGTAGGAACTGCTGTATGGAAAATGAATTTGCTTTGTAAATTTTCACCCAAATCACAAGAAAAATGAAAAACAAAAAACAAAACTGTGAATCTCTGATATAGCAGTATGTATGAAGATCAGCTGAAAGGGAAACTCCTCTAACAGCTATGCTGGAAAAAAACAATAAATCACATCTGTCTCAAAGCTTGTACAAGGAGTTTTTCTAAAATGAACGTCTGGTACTACCAATAGTTTCTTTAGATTAAGGAGCTCTGGTGGCATAGCGCTTAAGGTATTTGACTGCTAACTAGAAGGCTGGTGGTTCAAACCCACCAGCCACTGCTCGGAAGAAGACTGGGCAATCTACTTCCGTAAAGATACTGCCTTGGAAACCCAAGGAAGGGTCACTATGAGTCAGAACTTAGATTATTTAAGATAAAAGGAGGTATGATTAAAATAACAGCATTATTGGTCACTAAGAAAAAGATATGTATTTTAACTTCACTTTCTTCATCACTGTTAATGAGTAAGAATCTGTGAGGTGCCATACCTGTTTCTCTAAGACAGATGTCCTTTCTTTTTCTGCATGCTTGATCATGTTTCTCATATATTCCAACTGTTTTTCTAAAAGATTACATTTATTTTCTGCAGCTAACAACTGAGATGTCAGTTCTAAAAAGAATACAAAAGAAAGTTACCTGATTCAGAATAGCTTTAACATGCTTTTCAACAGAAATGAAATCTTCTGTGAATATAATAAACACTTCCCAATAGCTCTAGATGCCTTTTCAGATTACCTAAGTCATCCTCTCTCTATATGCTAGTTATATTGGCCTTGCCTTCAGTCAGTAAATGTAATGCATGCATTAGCACTTGATTCTCAAAACATACCTGACCACAATGAATTCATTTTGCACTGTCCAGTTACTGACTACATAACGCTAATGTAACTCTATTAAACTACCTATTTTAATACATTTCCTTCATAATTAAACAAACCTTGATTGTGCTTTGATTCCTCATTCTTTGAATTCTCCCTTTCCTGTATCTGTTCATCCAGTACTTTCTTGTATTCACTTGTTTCTCTAGACAAAGTTTTCACACTTTCTTCTGCCTGAATCCTTTCAAGTTCCAAACGTCGAATCTTCTCTTGAAGATTCTTCAGAGCTGAGAATATGGCTGGCAAACACAAACACAAGTATTATAAGATAATGCTATGTTGTTGTTGTTGTTTTGTGCCGTCAAGTCGGCCCCGACTCATAGCGACCCCTCCTTGGGTTTCCGAGGCAGTATCACTACGGAAGTAGGATTGCCCATCCTCCTTCCGAGGA